CTGCAGACCTGTTCTTGTCCAGTTGCTCTCGCCTGGCAGTTTGGGAAAAGAAGATTGAGAAGTCCATTGCGGAAACCATGGCTTTCAAACGCAATGTGATTCAAGGCAAATTGGGGTTGGACAACTCAGGTGAAATTACACAGTTGGTGTATTTCAACTGCAGTGCACCATGCTTCTTTGGACATGATCTCATGGGCGCTCTCAGACCAGATGCAGAGCATGGGGGTGCTGGTTTGCCCTGCATTCGCATACTCCAAAGGCCGTTTGTTCCTAGAAGAGAAATCCATTTTGGAGAAGCTTGCCCAGAGCCACTTGAATTTGGATTGGCCTTTCTCGATCCTGTTCACCGACAAGACTGATGCAAGAGATCAGAGACCCATGATCTACTATGGCCGGTTGATCTTCAACACACCGCTCGAATTGACCAAGAATGTGTGGTGGTCCAGTGAGCTCCGCAAAACCCAAAGGACTTCAGAAGTGTCCCAACTCAACCCTGGCAAAATGTTGCAAATCGAGAACATGGACCCTGACTCGGTGCCCGACACCATGGATGACCGGCTGCGGGTGAAGGGGGCAGCCAAATATGCACAGCTTGGGGTTGAGGCTTGCCAGCAAGTCTTGACTTCGAGTTTGCAAGGTGCGAGCTATGAGACTGTAGGTCCGGCTGTGTTGGTGATTGACCTCAACGTGGGCTGTGGGGAAATGTACCAAGCGTTCCTGAACCAGAGGCCAAACCAACCTCACACGTTCTTCCTTGGTTTCTGTGAGGACCAGAACCAGGCAACCTATGTTGAGCAGGTGTCCCGTGAGCTCCTTGTTGAGAAGTACATGGGTGGAGCCCCAATGCCCAATGGTGAGAAGCTGGACTTCAATGTGCCTCAAGACCTGCTGGAAAGTTTGCCTGACATTCCTCGTTTGAATGTTTTGGTGCCTTACCTGTGTTTTTAGATGTTGGTTATTTTGTATGTATTTTGTTTTTGTAACCTATCATAGCATTTGCAATTCAGTTTTTAGAAATCTCATATTTAACAATAACAAATGTCCTCAAGACTCGTTTTTCATGTCAAAAGACACTTTTTCCAATTGATTGTTTTGCAGACTGGCTAGCCATCATTCCACATGGCTTGGCCTTTTTATGCCTGCAGGTGTGGTCAACCAATGGCGAAACCACCCTTTGGTTGGCTCGCAGTTCCAGAAGTTCCTGGATGAGTTCTTGGAAGACCATGCCATCCAGGAGCAAGTGACCGGCAACGATCCCCCCATCAATGACCCAGCGAACCCCAACAAGCGAACCAATCCAGGCCCAGGTCCTGGGCCCAGTCCTTTGAAGAAAGCTCGATGCTGTTTGGATCCTGGTTTGGTAGTGGATGCAGAGTCCATCGACAAAGCCATGTTGAACGAATGCCGCATAGGTGCCAAAGAACCGCCCATCTATTTGCAGGTCCGATCCCACAACCACATCTACCTTTTGAACAAAGGAAGCAAAGATTGGGTTGGGAATGAAACCCCACTTGGAGGATTTGGGAAAGGAAGCTTCAAGATCATCAAGCAAGATGCAGATTTGCCAGAAGGGGCCGTTGAGTTGGACTTCAGTGGCAGCGCGGACCAGATTTGCTACAACGGCTCTTTGCAGAGCCTTGGTGATGTCATGAAGGAGTTGAGGACCAAGAACCCGGATTGCAAAGTCACTTATTTCAAGCTCACCTTTGACACTGAGAACCCAAACCAGTTCCAGCTTACCAGAACCCATCGTGTCATTTTCATCCCTCGGCCTGAAGAGAAAGCCAGTGAAATGAAAGAGTTCAATTGCGCAGCCAAAGAATCCATGCAGGTATGGAAGGCATCAAATTCAGTGAGTGTACTGTGGACTATGAAGTTTTCCGCAGTGAAAGGATTGATTCCTGTGAAGCCTGGACTTTTTTTGAAAGGCTCTGTCACCTTGAGCCCTGGAAAAGCTTTGGTGGTCTGCAAGGGCCTCGATGGACAGTGATGACTTGTAGCGACATGATGTCTGCTGATATCATGGTTGGCGCTGGGGGCGAGGGACTCGAGTTTTGGAGAGGCAAGCATTTTTTTAAAATCCATGGCACCTTATGACCAATTTTTAACAAAAAGGTTTGGTTCCACAGTTCCATATGCACTTTTGACTTCGCACTAAACATTCAAGACATCATGGCCAATCTCCATGGTGAGTCCAAAGGGTACAGCGCTGTAGTTTTGGAAACGTTCTAGCTACGTAGCTGCTCAAGAACCTCGCGTGCAAAAAGAGTTTGTTGGTCGTTGTCAGAGAAACTGTGGTTGCATGTTCGGGTAAGTAGAACGTTGTCAGAGAAACTGTGTCAGAGAAGTTGTGCAAACGAGTTGGTTGCATGTAAGTAGAACTGTGGTTTGAGAGAAACTTGTTCGGACAGAACTTGTCTTGCGCAGTGCCTGGCCCTAAGTTGTCTGGCCAACCATGCCCAGAAGCTGGCTAGCCAGTGGTCGCACCGGCCTGCCAGCGCCTGGATGGTTGGCCTGGGCAAACCAAGGGTAAGGGCAAAAGCTGTGTTTATTCTGAAATGAATAAAACGCAGTTTTAATGGTTCAAACTAGGTTCAAACTAGGCCACCAGCAAAACATGTTTTAAAGCACATAGCGCCAAAATTAAGCCCAAACACACACACAAGAGTCCAGTACCAACCAACTCCGCCCAACACAAACAACATGCGACAAATGACGCCCAACAACTCCCATGTTACAATGTTCTCAGCGCTCAGTTATATAGTCGGCGGTTTCCTTTCGACCCGATGGACCACGACGAGTCTGACACAGAGAGTAGTGCTACATTCGTGGGACTGGATGATGTTGCAAGTGTGGTCACTGACCTTGACCGCGATGACACAATCTTCGCCACACCGGTCGACCCAGCAGCTATGTTTGCAGCCTTTACCCGTCACTTTCCCCCAGGTGCTGCTGCAACCGCAGGGAATTCGATTTCTACCACCAGTACCAGTACTGCAGAAGGTTCAGGAGCTGACCATGTGAATGTCTCTGTGTTCACCACACAACAAGCAGTAGATCCACGAGTTGGAGATGCAGCACTAGAGAGGAAGCAGCTGGAGCGCTACCGGAAAGCAAAGCAGTTGAAAAACAAGCGGGAGAAAAAAACGACAGAAAAAAAGAAAAGAAGAAGCGAGGAAGCTTGTGGCAGAGGTAGCGGCAAAGGTGAAAGAGCAGAATCTTAAAAAGGATTCTTGATGGTTCAACAAGACTTGGTCAGCCTGCGAGAAAAAGAATTTAGTTTGACAGCGGTCGGGTGGACTGTTTTAGTTTTTGGTGGCCGGCTTTATTGCGTTGGTTTTGTGGTTTTTGGAAGAGGTTTGAATATTTGCTACTTTTTTACACATAATTAATTCCAAGCAAACCACTTATCAGCATCCTGTTGGGTTTTCTGTATTGGCCTGGGTGTCTGGGTGTCACAATCTGTGTTTGCGCCTGCAGCTTGCATCACAACACATTTCAGGTAATGTAATATTGAATATGCCCACTTACATTGCAAAGCATTTTGCAACAGTAAGAAATCAATTGTAATCTTTTGTTGGTTTTTTGGGTGTTTCTGGTCCATATGTGCAAACATCAGAATCATATCATGGAAACACAAGAACAAGACAATATTCCAAAGGGGAAATGTGTTCAACACAAATATGGCAATGACCTCATTCATCCCGACCTCATTCCTGGAGACTTGAATGTTTCAACCTCATTCCTGGATGACCAGAACACATTTACCAAGAGAGGTAAAAGGATATGTCCTCCAGCCCACTTTTGGAGGACATAGTATCTTATAAGGCCTTTTGACCCTTGTTGGTCCATCCTTATTCACAAAAGAACCTTGCTGATTCCATGGGCCGCTTTCATCCTTGGAGGAATGGTAGTGGAGCACTCCAAAGATGGCAATGGAGCACTTGTGTCACACCTTTGCGCAAAACAGAAACACTTCCTTTCACCTCATTTTTTCTCCACCACACTTGTGGACCACTTGTGCCAGACCTGGTTTCCAAGGTCTTTTCTTGGACTACTAAATTAAGAGATGAACTTATCACTTCTCAAGAAGGATCCATTTTTGTTTCTCATATGCCCAGGTCTTTGTATAGCCTGTTCACTCCCGGTGAGAAGAAGATCGCTCAGCTCGAACTTGTCCAACTCATTTTTGCGCTGACGACCAGGCCAGACCGTTTCCGAGGCAGGCGAGGGGTCTGGTTCCTGGATAACAGTGCCGCCCTCATGGCACTGATCCGGGGACGATCGGATGCGGCAGACTTGGAGCGCATGTCACAAATTGTGCATGTTTTGCTCTTCGGTCTGCAGTGCTGGCTGTTCTTCGAGTGGATCCCCTCGAAGAGCAATTGGGCTGACGCTATCAGCCGATTGGGCTTTCAAGACCCATGGCACGTGAAGAAGGGATTTACTCAATCCGAGGCATTTTTCCCATTTATCCTGTGGCAACTGCCAGTTGCTAGCCTCACTCGCGTGGCCGAATACTTGTAAGTGCGTTGGGGATTTTAAAGTGCTTTGGGTGATATCTGGAGTGACCAGATGAAACCCAGCCAGGGGTGACCTG